CAGCTCTTTAACACAGCTGCATCTTTGCCCAGGGGATGGAACTGCCCTCTGCACTTACTGGAAAAAGAAGTGGCTGCTTTAAAGATTTAACATTGGAGCTGTGATCATGGTCCCACATGGTTCAAAGCACCTTTTCCAAATTATTTCCAAAGTCCTGCAGATCACTAATATGCATATACCTGCTCCATTTATAGCAAATGTGTAAGCATTATTCTAAAATAATCACTGCTTTTTTGATAGGGATGCTTGAAAGCAACCATTTTCTGCTCTAAGTAGAGTAGAGTATTTCAAATGATCTTAGAATATGGGTAAAGAATATTGCTTAGCCCATAACAATTTATCTGTTTATTAAATACATTTTAGCTTCTGGAATTCTCTTTCTAAAGTTATAATATTAAAAAATGTCCACATTTCAAAAATGTCTAATGCTCCTTTAGTTTTACAGCTGACATTCTGTTGACAAAATTAGATTAATATTTTAAAAATTAAAATGGTTTATTTCTTCTCCTGAGAACAGTTTAAGACATCTCTAGATTCAAGGGCCATTTGCTTCACATAGAGAACTAGAAATGAAGATGAAGGTGCCATAATATGTATTTATATCATTTATAAAACCACAAGGATCATTAAAAACATTAAAAAACAATAAAACTATTACAGTAAAAGCATAAAAACATCAGCGGGGGAGCACCATTAATTTTCCTAAAAGTACAACCACTTATCAGGCTCTCCACCAATGCCACCGGATCCTCAGGCCAGATGACAAAGCTCTCCCAGAAGGTCAGCAAGGTTGGGGCCAGTCTCACTGCAGGGGGATGATGTTCCATAGGGCAGGTACAATGGCAGAAAAGGCTCTCCTCTTGGGTCCTGTCAGATGACATTCCTTTGTAGATGGGATCCCAACATGCCCTTTCTGCTGGATCTGATGGAATGGGTAGATGTGATTGGGGTGAGGCAGTCCCTCAAATACCCTGGTTCCATGCCATGTAGGACTTTATAGGTCATCACCAGCACCTTGAATTGAATCCAGAAGCAAACTGGTAGACAATGCAGCTTGAGGAGCAGAGGTATAATGTGTGCTGATCTAGGTGCACACATAACTGCCCATGCTGCCACATTTTGCACCAGCTGAAGCTTCCAGATGCTCTTCAAGGGCAGCCTCATGCAGAATGCATTACAGTAATCCATACAGGAGGTAACCAGGGTGGGAGTGACTGAGCACAGGGCCTCCCGGTCCAGGAATGGGCACAACTGGCACACAACCTGAAGTTGTGCAAAAGCCCTCCTAACCACAACTGCCACCTTCTCTTCAAGTAGGAGTTGTGAGTCCACAAGGACCCCCAGATTGCACACTGGGTCTGGGGCAGTGCCAGTTCTGATCCAGAACTAAAGATGATAAATTCCCAGATCCTGGTCAGTCTTGCCAGGGTTGAGTTGAAGTCTCTTGCTCCCTGTCCAAAGCTCCACAGCCTCCAGGCATCAGGACAGAACATCAACAGCATTGCTTACTTTACCAGGAGCAGATATATAAAGCTGGGTATCATCAACATACTGGTGACATCTCACCCCTTGGCTACAGATGACCTTACCCAGTGGTTTCATGTAGATGTTAAACAGGAGCGGAGAAAACATGGGATCCTTTGACACCCCACAGTGTAGAGGCTGAGGGCGGGACATCTCACTCCTGATCAACACTAACTGGAACCAGCCATGAAGGAAGGAGAACCAGCACAATACAGTGCTGCTGACCTTCTACCCTCGCAGCCAGCACAGAAGGATATCATGGTATTGAAGGGCGCTGTGAGAGCAAGTAGAGCAAATGTGGATGCACTAACCCCATCATGCTCCTGCTAGAAGTCATCTAAAAGCATGACCAATGACATTTCTGTCCCATGTCCAGGCCTGAATCCTGACTGAAAGAGGTCCAGATAATCCACTTAATTCAGGATCCTCTGGAGCTGCTGCATGATCACCTTCTTAACAACCTTCCCTAAAAAGGGAAGATTGGATACTGGATGAAAATTGTCCAGCATGGTTGGGTCTAGTGATGGCTTCTTCAGGAGGGAGCATATGTCATCCTCCTCCTTGACATTGTTTTATATACAAGAAATGTCTTTACATAGACATGCATTCCATTATATTCACTTTCGTCCCTCTTCTTGACCAACTAAATTCTTAATAAGGATCCCGACAGTTTTGAAGAACTTACTAAGCATCTTAGATGAAATCAAAGCTTTTCTCTCCATTCATTAACAGCTATAAGTTGATTTACAAAAATGAAAGCAAAGCCAGGGAATAGGGAGTACTGTAACCAATATCAATAATTATGGTTTTATGGATAATGCCTGTCCATGTCCCTGGAAGAGGCCCCTTGGCAGTTGCCTCTTATCAGATCTGTGGGATGAGAGCCAAAACAGCCCTTTAGTTCATGATAGTTGTAACCTTCCAAATAAGTATATCATGTCTATCAATTATTAATAGAAGCCTTTGATAAAGCTAACTTCTCTCATGAAAACCATGCACATGACCCACAAGGGAGAAGTCTAACACAACTTTGCCAACTATCCCATTAATCTGAATCAGTAACAGTGATAGCAACATGCACCAAGTTCGGTGTTCTTGCTTGAGAAACCGAAAGGTATTATGGAATCTTTTTCTGCTATTAATGTATTTAAGAAATTTATATGGCTGCCCAACTCAAACTGTTCTAACTCGGGGTGGCATACAATCGACAAAAACAGGTAAACAGCACCAAACCAGTATGGTTCAGAACAACAAAAATTAATAGGTGTTCGGGATCACAAATATACATTACACCCCTCCAGGTGGGAATTCCAATCAAGTTGGCCCCACTCCCTGAAGTCCAGTAGGGTTGGGGCCAACTGTATATTGGGGGGGGGGTCATTCCAGAGGGCAGATGCTGCATTGGAAGAAACATGTTTCCTGAGTCCCACCGGTTGACATGGCTTCAAGGAAGGGACCTGAAGCATGCCTGTCTACTAGAGTCTGTGGAATGGACAGATATCATTGGGGATAGGGAGTCTCACAAATAACCTGGTCCTGTGCCATGTAGGGCTCTGTAAGTGGTGAGCAGCACCTTGAATCACACTTGGAAGGCTACTGGCAGCTCGGGCAGCTCACGGAGTAGTGGTTTATATGCTACACGTCTCCAATATCCACACTACCCAGCTTTGTTTCACTCCAGCTGGAAAGCAAAACTGTTGTAGACACAGCTCTCTACAGTTTTGTTCAGTATACAACTGAAAGTCAAGGATTCCATTGGAGCTTCTTCTAACTTTTGGGCTAATACAAAATACAAAATATAAAAAGCATGGGTGCATGCTATGCTTAGACCAGTGTCTGGGGAATGCTGGGTGGGGAATTCTGGGAGTTGAAGTCCGTTCATCTTAAAGTGGCCAAGTTTGGACAACACTGGCTTAGACTGAAGGACTGTGAGAAATACACTTTGCATTTCTGGTATAAGGGCCAGGAAACAATTTAAAGTCCTTTTAATGGTTTGCCTTTGTGGAAATCAGGACCCCCTCCCCCCCATTAATAACTCTTGAAGTCCCAAAATACATATATTTAAAATCTATTGCTACAGACAATGAATTGACTTGGGCAAAATAAGTGATCATATTTCTTCCAAAAGTAGAGAATAAACGATCCAGCCTTTTAAACTTGTATGTGTTTATTGTAACGGTATATGCCACACCATACATTTTCTACAAGGCAAATATATGATTTGAATACAATAGGTTAAAAATTTAATCACTGCACCCCATTTCAATATTCCAGTAGTTCATATGCTAAGATCTGCTGATTAATGACAATTCTATTTATAGGATGTGTGGGTTAAAGTGAAGGGAAACAAATTAACTGGTGAAATGCTGATGGGAAAAAGATATTTACCAATGCACTATTCAAATTATCAATGCAAATTATGCCACCATGGAATTACTCTGAACTATACACAAGGCTTGCAAAGTTTCAGCACCATTTCCTACAACTCAGTCTTCCAGTTTGGGAGAGCTCACAGTTTCCTGATATGTTTCATAAGAAACATTCAAGATGGCAACTTCAACAGTATAATCAAAGCCCTGCCTCCTTTTATGGATCACCTGTACCATCTTGATTTATTTGCTCATCCTATGGAAGCTCCTGGAAACATTATTTCCAGAAAAGCTCCCTCCCCAAAAGTATTGTTGCCCTTCATAATGCTCTGTGCAGTCATTTGGGGTTTGAAGTTTCAGCTTTTCAGGCTTTGTTAAACTTCAACGTTCAGCTGCCCTTCCTAGCACAGCTGACAGTGGTAGATGCTGGGGTTGCAGTTAGGAGCTTTTGTAGAGTCATAAGTAAACAGATGTTAAGTTACTGGATTAAAAAAAGAGTTTAAAAAGTGAAGCTCATAAAACATAGGCTATTTTGTTTCATTAAAATCACAAGAGTCTCCCCTTGGGAACATACATTACTGTGGTCCACACCTTGCTAAGGTAAGATCCAATAGTTACACAAGCTAGCTATTAATCCAGGAATACAAGAAGGATTTTTAGACCATCATATTTCCAGGGATGGTGAAGTCCTAATCTTTAGACTAATGTTTCTCAACCTTGGCAATTCTAAGATGTGTGGACTTCAACTCCCAGAATTCCCCAGCCAGCATGCTGGCTAGGGAATTCTG